AATAAAACTGTAGCCAAAACGTCATCGCGTTACGCTTGGAGAGGCCGATATGAGTCTTCTGTAACTGAACAGTATAAGTTGTATTGAGCGTATGGGTGTAGATGTCTTTCCTATACTTACATTCACATTTCCAGCCACGTCCACGCTCTCAGGTGATGCATTTTAATTTTTTTCGTCGAACTTTTATCTATGCAATCAAATATTCCAAATATCATCCCTACCTGATGGATGATACTACATTTTTCCGAAAAAAACATCGATTTATTTTTAATTACTTTCTGTAGAATTCATATTAGTTTCGATTTCAACAATGGCTAAAAAATATTCCGATGATGATGATAATTTACAACATAATCAACGTTTTTTCGACATGGCCGGGGAACCTTGCCGAATGTTATTACCCATCCAAGGTTATGAAAAAAAGCCTCTTGTGTCACTCGAAGACGCAGTTGAACCATTAGTTCAATTTGTGCCGGATATCAAGCGAATGGCATACGTGGCTAAAATGAAATGTGACAATCCGCCTGCTAATCATCTTTCAAAAGATGAATCAGCTTCTATCATTCTTTATTCGATGGAATGGGAACCACAAGAAGAGTGTCTTTATCATGTCTTAAACGCCACTCTTCGTGCTGAAAATCGGAGAAAATTAGTTCCATGGTTCCTTTACTTGAAACTGGTTCTTAAGGCTTTATCAGATCTTCCACCATTACAGCGTACTGTTTATCGGGGAGTTAGAGGTGATTTGCGCAAGGGCTATGAAAAAGGAAAAGAAGTTATTTGGTGGGGATTCAGTTCTTGTACAACAACTCAGGACGTTTTGGAAAATGATCAGTTCTTGGGTTCATCAGGCACAAGAACTTTTTTTACCATTGAATGCATCAATGGTAAAGATATTCAACAACATTCATCAATCAAAACTGAAGATGAAGTTCTTCTTCCACCTGGTCGGCTATTTAAAGTTGTTTCATGTCTGAATCAATCCGGTGGTCTTTATATGATACAGCTTAGAGAAATTGAACCACCATATCCTCTTCTTGAACCTGTATCAAAAGTGAGTATCTTCTTCTTATTTCACTGTAAAATGAAACCATTAATTGTAATCTTTTAAGGATGCTCCAAAAATATCGACAGCTGCTACAGCCAATCCCTCACCAGTTATCGCACCGATGGACAGGTACAGTAGTTGTTTTTAATCCCATCACAGAGATATATTTTGCGAGTAGTTTTTACAGTCTAGCATTTAATTCTGTAATCACATTGAAGCATCTGTAATTTCATATAGATTCAATCGTGATTAAAACTACTCAGCTTCTAATATAGTTTTGAGAATCGTATACTGCGAGTTTTTCGTTGAAATCTCGCCATTTATGGAGACAATAATATTTTTATCGAATAAGATCGATGCTTTTTGCTATTTTTCTGTAGATAAAATAAGAACAAATAATGTTGAGAATGTCTATTTAAATGTTACTACCGCTCTGAAATATCAAAATCATTGAAAACAAAATAACTATTATAGAATACGAACATTTTCTTACTTCAAAAATGATATTTAAAATGTAGTGTTAATAGAGGTACAAATAATCGAAGAAGATCTATGAGTTTTTCTTCTTTGTGTGTAAATTTCTATATAATATATACGGAAACGTATTTCACTATATTCTCTCTTATTATATGCTGAGCTAAAGTTTAGACATGCAACGAGATATGTATGACCTTGAAAAAAATATGAGGTAATTAATATGATAATATCGATATCGATTGTTATAATGCTTAAGAAAGTTAGAATCATCCATCGCACAAAGATGAGGGACATGATATTTCGTCGTCAAAGGAACATTGCATATTTAGTACGTACTAAAAGTAGCGGTGAAGGTGCTCTACTTTCTTACAAGAATCTTGAAGAACTTTTCTTTTTTTCAATGTCGTAATAGAGCAAATAATACTTTTGTGCTATTTGATCACTCTTTACCTGACATTGTAAAAATAACATTTTCGTACAGGCCTATTTATTATGAAATGTATGGAATGCATGTATATTTATTGCACCGAAAAGAAACGTAGAAGAATACTTGTTTTTAGAAAACTTCTGATAAAAACAAGGTAAATAGCTGCGACCTTTTCCGTTGAAATGAGAAAGATGAAAATACATTGAATTCAGCATTAAAAAGCTCCTAAAACTGGTTTTTAGCTGATCTTCCTGGAAACAATCTACTTTTAAATATACTGTAGAAGTTTAAATGTAATCATTCAGTAGTTATCTGTGTTCTAATTTACAATCTAAATGAACTGTATAGGAAGTTCCGTAGAAACAATTCTTTTTCATATAAAGATGGGTTTTTCGTAATTACAAAAACGATAGCAAGCTAGAGAATTCTTAGGTTAGAAAGTTGCAATATATGGTTTAATGTACCGTCATCTCCTTTTGTAATCGTGACAACCGTAGCTCTCTTCCATTGCCTATCAAAAATTATTCAAAAAACACTTAGCCACTCTTTTAATGAAATAAATATACATGTAACCGTTACATTTGGTAATAAATCTGTCTTTATTGACGTTCTGTTACTATGATGCTAGTTGAAGAATGATTAAATACGACAAGTAGATAGAACATTGTGCACTCTATCATCACATTAGGAAAACAAAAGTTCTTCAAGCTTTCTATCACAAAATGAGAACTTCTACTACTATTTTTAGTATGTCCTAAGTAGATAAGTTTTAATAAAACGATTTTACTGAATTTAATGATACGATAACTAATTTTCTTCTTTTTCTTTTAGTCTGTCACTATCAAGCAACAAACCAAAGGAGCAAAGTACGTACGAAAAAGCTCGAGTTATTATTTCCTATTTAGAGCTCGATCTAACAAATATATATAAGTTATAAAACTATATTACATCAAACAGATATTAATTAGTTCTTTAAGAAATTTCTTGTATGATAAAAAAAAGTTGATCTTGATATTCGAGATGAATGAGATTGAGTATAGATTAGTGCGGTTAAAAAGAAGTTTGATCTTCACTATTATTCTAGTCATACATTAAAATTATTTTGAATACTATAATTATTTCCATTTAGAACAACAAGAATTTGCTACGCCTGGTACTTATAAGGAGCTTGGT